ACATATTAAAGTCCCTCAGGATCCGCGTCCTCATTAGTGCCACTGCAATTACATTCCTCATGAATTATTCCTCGGTGTCGTGCCACCATGCTCTAAATATGAATGCGGAAGAGGACCAGGGATAAACATTGATTAAAGTCATAAGAGGAGCAGGAGTGTCAGTGGACGTGATTGGCAGCCGGTGTGTTTGTGATGGAGAGCGTTCGATGTGTGCTGGGATTTGAAATGGGAATGTGCTGTTTTGTGGGGGAACGGCCGTGTAAATGTTTGATGAGGATATTCTGGTTTTGGAGTGTTTCCTGTCCTCCAGCTACCGGTGATGGCTGGGTCTGCCTTCTTCAGGGGACACATCTATGGCGTAGAGAGGGGAGACTCGTGCTTAGTCTTCAAATATAAACCATAAATGCTCAAAGGGCCTTTCTGGGAGGCCAGCACACTGTCTCATAAAGTATATATACACAAAAGAGCAGTATATGGCGTATGTGCAGATCCTCTGAGTATTTCTGTGAGCTAGCTTTAAGTCGGTTGTCAGGGCGGTGGGAGTGAAGGGTGGTTGATGACATCAGCTGGACGGTGTCAGCTGCACAATAACTTAAACTCTTACCTAACATACATTCTGTGTACAGTGAGGCAAGGCAAGCGCTTCAGTTGTGTGAATAGTGTTGCTCGTGCGTAAGAGCTTCTGTCTGCGAGTGCCTGAACATCACTAAACGCTGAGCATAGAATCAGTTCATGTATTCAATTGCAAGAGGTTTTTATTTGTTAAGATTAGGTTTGTTTTCATTTGCGGAACGGGTAATATACATTTGGGGTAATGGGATATTTAGTTATGTATTCATTTGGGCAGTTAGAGTTATGGGTTATATATTCATTGGGGTTATGGGTGTGGACTCTTATTTTGACATTCTGTTCTGTTTCCTTTAGTTCCTGTTTCCCAGGGGCCGGTTTCACAAAGATCGACTTTGACTATGGCTTAGATATAGTAGATAGTCAGACTTCAGATAGACATCTAAATCAGGCCGTTGCACAAAGCACTTCAGACTCTGACTATCTTAAGTAGGACTACACTGCAATGCATTCTGGGTAAATAAGACACTTTTCAAAACAATAAACATGGCGGATCGAGTGAGCGCATTCAACCGCTCGGTGCAGTTTACCCCAGCGGGAGATATGTGTGTGTTGGAGGAGTGTAACAGAATGTAGTAACGAGAAGAGATGTTTAATTTGGACAAAGATTGCTACGACATACAGCGTTAATCCGACCGTTGAGCGGAGCGCTAAAGACGTACAGAAAAGATACAAAAACACGGTACAAGATGCCAAAAAAGAAATATTTAAGAGGAAATATCCAAAAACGGGAGGAGGACCCCAAGAGAAACTTAAAGACACTGAAATGGTGATGAATATATGGTGGACAGTCGCCTGTGTTTTCGTTTGGCTGTTTGTAATGTAACTGATTGTTACTGGTGGTTGCCAAGGTGACAGAGTCTTAGACCTGAGTTAGACTGGGGGAAAGGCCTCTAATTGTTTTGGTCTAAATTAAGTCAGTCTTTATTTTTGTGAAACAGTCTAACTTGCATTAGACTACCTATGAGCAAATCTTTGACTTGTCTAACACTATAGACCGGTCTAAAATAGCTTTGTGAAACCGGCCCCAGCTCTGTTTAGTTTCGGGTTGCTTGGTTACTGATTATTTGTTTCTACAGTTTCATATTAGTCTCAGCCGTGTCTTTATGGATTTAAGACTATGTCCATATGAGTTGTGCATGTTGGATTGCTGCCACATCTGAGGTCATGGGTTATATATTTAATTTTGGGTCATTGTTTATTGGTTATAATTCATTTGGACCTGCTATTGTTATAGGTTGTGATTTTGGGTGTTGGCTTATATATGGGCTCTTATATAATTGGTTAATTATTCAGTTGCAGTTTTACGCTGTTGATTATTCAGTTTAGCCCAAGGCTAATGGTTATATACTCATTTGTACCCTTTGGTCAATGGCTATATACTGTATGCAGTTGGAGTTAGGTGGTGTTATATATTGAGTTATATATTGAGTTGGGCTCCTGGTCGATTGGTTATACAGTATTCTGTTGGAGTTAAGGCTATTGGTTTTAAATCCAGTAGTGTCTATGGCTAACTGTATATATTCATTTGGGATAATAAGTATTTTGGATGCATTTGGGGTTATGGGTTATATTTAGTTAAAGTCCCCCTGTAGTCATTAATTGTATCCCTTAAAACTCATCTTTGATCACCAAAATGACATATTTAAGCATTTTTTCCTTGAAAAAAATGTCTCCATGCCTTAAAATAGGTTGAATGTAACTCTACACCCTTACCTCATTTAGAATACACTGTTCTATGAATATGCAAATGAGCCCCGCCTCCACTCACTCACTCAGCTCAGAGATCGGTTCCTCTGCCTGCGACGTCACTTGCACTCGACACAAATAAACCGGAAATGCGTTTCCAGCAGTTAATTCGCATTGTATTGACGCTTTAAAGTACTTGCGTGCTAAAACACCACCAAAAGTAATTTTTTTGCAGCTTGTGTTCATCGAAATATTATGTTTTATTTTTTATTTAGAATTCAAGTCAAAGATATATAATATAACAGCAAAGCTATGATCATCAATGATACAAGGTCTACACAATAAAAAAAAACCATTAAGCTGATGCAAGTTTTTTTAGTTTTTATTGTAAATATGTCAATAATCTATTAACAATTGTTATTACTGAGTAACATGTACAAATACACTATACGAATAGTACAATATACAAAGATAAACCGGTACCACTTTATTTTACAGTGACCTTGTTACATATGTAACATGTACTTACCATAGTAATAACAGTAAATTATGCATAATTACATGCAACTATACAACATTTAAGTTGTTATATAGTGTTTTTCTCAGCACAAATAGTTTCAGGGCAGTACTTTCTAATGTTTATTTGAAGGAAAAATATCTATGAATAATGAATGTGTTTGTGTCCATGGCTATTAGCCAGCTACAATTACTGTAAAATAGTGTAATGCACCTAGCTTGGAAAAACTCTACTTTTTTAAAATGACCTTCCCACTGTTGCTTTATTTATTTATTTATTACATGTTGTATTTTACAATGCGTTTCACAAGACGTATTTTGCTAATAACAATGTTTTCACCCCAAAAAATAAAACAGGGACGGTAAACTATACAGTGGTTTCAATGTGTACGCCATGGTAAGACAGTATAGGCCTATATAAGGCAGTTTACACTGTCAAATAGTTTAGTTTATGTGTTCAAGACAGTGAGTGGTTTCATGGCTATAGTTATAGCTAATGTTAAGCCGAATACAAAGAGTGAGCTGTGCATAAGTAACTTAGATAAACATCATTTCGTATATCATAGATTTACAAAAAACAAGGAACTCCTGCACACTATCCGTACTTGCAAATGAGTATCAACATTTTTATAAGCAACGTTTCGGTCTCACGACCTTCATCAGGCATTTACAAACATTCAAACTCTTTAAAATAATCACATGACCAATCAATGTAAAGATCCATTTGCAACCAATTAGGTTCAGTGATTGAATACATAACTAACGCCACATCATCATCGTAGACAGATACAGACAATTTTAAATATCAAAGTAAAAAAAAACATAGATTATCATATATTAAAATTCTTATAAATTAACGTATAACATCATATTGACAGATATATGATATATATATATTTCATGTAATGTATATAATTTACAGTCTTAAAGCATATTAAAAACACCACATGACACATAAACAACATTAAAAACTTGATTTTCACCACATGGATAATTGGTGATATATTCATTCAGGCGTATGGGTTAATGGTTATGTATTGTATGCAGTTGGGCTTATGTGATATATATTCAGTGTATGGGATGCCTTTGGGTTATTGGCTATATATTCTGTTGGGTTTATGGGTTATTAGTTATAATATATTCAGTTATTTATGAGTTAAATATTCAGTTGTTATTGATTATATTCATTTACGTTTATATACAGTGTATTCAGTTTGTGTATGTATTATGGGTTATACTATATTTAGTTAGGGTTATAGCCTAAAGAACGTAATTCGTTTACATTTACATATTTTTATATTGGTTACGTATATATAATTTGTGAGTTCAAATCATGTTATGAATAAATTTGGTGTGTATCATATAAAAATAAAGTGAGTGTGAGAGAACAGTTGACAAGTGAGAACACTATTGAGAAGTATATGTGTGTCCAGTGTTTTTGCCATGGCATCCTCAGACTTTTTTTTTTTTTTACTGTGAGAGATGTAATGATTCACTTTGCGCTGTCAGAAGAGATCAGTGTGTGTGTGTGTGTGTGTGTGTGTGCGCGTGAGATTTCCTTCAGTGATTCACTGCCTGATACTATGCTATATCACATTTCTTTCTCTCACAGTGTAGCATTGATACTTCATGTCCTGGATTGCTGTTTTGTATTTATTTATTTGTTGATTCATATAATTCCTGCAGTTAATGAAGAACTCATCTAAATTAGACAAACCTCTGAAAGCAAAATTTCTCCGCCAGAGCTGCTTCTCAGATCGAGAGTTATATCACAGATTCACTTTCTAGTCTCTCTTGTGCGTTTGGCACAGTTTCAATCACGACTCGATTATGACACGGTGAGGCATTGCCATGCATTGAATCACAATGATGTATTTTTCATCTTGGGATATTTGGCAAACCCTGCCTTACTTAATGGCTAAAGAGTTCAACACCACTGAACATAGGATGAAACCCACTGACATACTTCCACGACTTGATGCCGAGTATCAAAACTTTGTGTATAATTGTATTTAAATGAATTTTAGCATATGCTAATTAACATTATTCATTCAGGGCTCGTCGTGTTTAATGTTGTATTTCGAGTATGGAGAGCTTGATTTTCTTTAAAACCCTTTAAAGTGGACTTTATTAACTCCTGTTTCTTCCTTTCTTTCTTTCTACCACAGAAACCTCTTGGACAGAGACACCTTCTCAAAGTCGGATCCAAGTAAGCCTTCGGTTTCACACGTCACATTTTAAGAAGCTTGTCCGTTTATTCTAGTACGCAGTGAAACGTCGTGGGTACAGAGATCGGTTTATCTGAAAGCTCACGTACCACTAGCACAACCGACTGAAATCACATTACTAGACAAATGCAGTCAACACACTCATCAGCAGAGCTCTGATCCCCGTAGGGAGCGTGATTAGTGTGTGTGAAATCTCACCTGCCTGCCTTAATGTTTACGCTGTGTTATTAGAAAGCTTGAGCATGAAACAGAAGTACAAATGGGAATAATACTCTGCTGCGTATAAAAGAAGATGCACATGCAGCCATACAGCAGATACAGCAGTTTCTTTCACATGCAGGAGAGTATTATTCGCATTTGTATGTGTGTGTGTGGTTTTGTTTTGATTGCATATTCACGTGTTGTATGTTCATGTGGGTTGCAACTGTATTGTGTAATCCAGATGTTGTGTTCAGCTATTCACAGCTTTAATGAACATACAGATGCGTTTGACTGCAGGCTTGCATTGTTCATTCTGCTGTATGGCTGATTACACTGACTGTTTCTGACACACACACACACACACACACACACGCACACACACACACACACACACACACACACACACGTACGCTCACATGCACATTATATGCTCTAAAAGGTTTTGTTTCGATTTGTTTTTTCTGCTAAGAAAATTCTATTTTCATCTTGAAATTGGGCCAATTATTAGACTGTTTGCAAAGTACATAACTTTCCTTCCTTCCTTTAAAGGAGTCACACCTTTGCAACATTATACCTCTGGAAGTCAATATATAATATTATTTTTTTGTGTATTAACAACTGACTTAATTTTTTTTTTTCATGGCCATTTTCCATTCTCTCTCTGACTATTCATATTAAACAGACTGTGTTTTTTCTTCTGTGCCTTTAAGACTTCTATATTCAAATGAGCTCTCTTTTGATTGGCTAAGCCCCATGTGTGGATAAGCTCTAGGTGTACTGAGGTCTTTGAAGTTTTGGGAACATTAAGCACAAAGTATACTTTAAATTTGACGTGAAAGCCAAACACTTTGCCTTTCAAAGTTCATAAAGTGTGGTTTAACACATTGTCATGCGTTGGCTGTAATAATGAATCACACGACGATGGAGAATACACTGGAACAGACTTTAATGATAAATACTAGGAGATCACGGAGGAACACAACCAAACGCATTCATAAACGAAGGCGAACAGAGACCACGGGAGAACTCATAAATGCATAGATTAAACAAAGGGAACTACAGTAATGAGAATTAAAAAAAACACCAGGTGAACTGAATACAACAAGCAAATGAACAAACTAGAAACTGGGTCAAATGACAAGACAGACACACACATGCAATAGAAAGTTGGATTTTTCACTTTGCAGACGTTTTGACCAATACAAATGCCTTTGTAGTCGCAGGTAGGCCCTACTGTATGTATCTACTGTATCTACTGTATCTATAGTCTATTGTTGTTTTGGTCTCCAGTGGTTTTGTGTTGTTACTCTCTTCCGTTTCTTTTTCGAATGAGAAACAGTGGGCCAGGCCGGTGTGGCCACCTTGTGGTCTAACCAATTATTTAAGAAAAAATGGACCTCTGTCTACATTTTTGCATAACTCCAAAAACATACTGTAATATACATACATTTCAACTGCTGTTTCCAGCCTAAAATAACACCAGGAGTTACAACATCTTGGCTTTTCTGACTCGCTTGGCTCATCTGATACAGTATTGCACTTGAGGTGTGGGTTGATTGTTTTAAAAAGTGATATTTTTCCCTATTATTTACAACATGACCAAGTTTTCAAGTTTAAATGAAAGATTTTTGTTATAAGATACAATAAAAACAACTTTGTGCATCAAAACCACTCCTTTCCTGGTAAAGAAATGAACTTGACTTTCAAAAGTCAACGCATTTGCGACAGCTGAATATTACATTTTTGTGTTTCTGAGTACTAACATGTAATTTATTTAAGCCATGAAATAAACATTTCGAACGCCTTCAGCACGTTTTACAATGACCCAAAAATAAAACATAGTTCACCCCTTACGCATGTTTTCAAGTCCGTCAAAAACTTGTGCTGGCTGTCGGTTGGAATATTAGAAATGAAAACATTGACATAACTCACTCATGGGCATCCATCACTTCACTAAATACTTGCTGGCTAAGAAATAAACAATTATTAGCTTACGATCCATCCATCTGTTTTCAAAACTACTTCATTTGAATATCACAACATCGATGTCTGTCAAAAAATAACATGCTCAATACTGGGACACGCATTTCCTGGAAAACCCAAACTACTGGATGATTTTACTCCATCGTCGCTTTCCGAGAAGAGGGAGAAAATGGCGGCCTGATCAGCTTCAACATGCTGTCAGAGACGATAATGTACAAAATACATAACACACGTTGAGTATGCAGACATCCACCTCTCCCAAAAGGTCTGGGAGTCTCCCGCATATTGATAACGGCTCCCTGACGCCTGCAAATTATATTCAATTTCCCAGAAATCGAGCGAGTGAGAGAGAACCTGGAACCTGTTTACACCTGGTATAAGATGCGTTTTCAGTGAACCGATCACAAGTGGTCAGCCAAGATTGCATTACCATTACTAGGGCTGGACCGGTGGACCCACATATTTGAATATTCGTTCGGTGGGTTGGTTTTCGATTTTCAATTTTGGGATTCGAATATTAGTTTTTTTGTTGTTGTTTTTTTCGCACACCTGGCATCCCCCTCGAAACGGTTCTCACTCGCGCTTCAATATGTTTACACTATAAAATCTGGCGACAGACTTTTGATTTGAGCTCGGTGACTTCTAAGGGCCCCCGCCCTGCGACTTCTAAGGGCCCCGCCCCCCTTCCTCGGGCCCTGGGTATCCCTTTATCCCCCCAGTACCACGCCCCTGCCCACACCTGTGGTCTCAATGTTGAGATAAATAAAATAAGCTAATTTAATTACAATTTGACATTATTTCAAATGGAATTGTTTAATATACAGATTCATTTACAGCACCTTAAAATTCTTTGTATTATTTACTGATCATTTTTATGATTTTTTTTAACTAAATGTGCCTTTCCCACACTTTTGAGTCCTTACCGCAACAATAAAAAAAAAAGCTTTTATTATGAAGTTTTATCGAACCCAAACCAGTCTAGTTTCTATGGAAACAGAAATTATCACTTGAGCACATTGCTGACAGACTGGGCCACCACACTACCTCACTCACAAGATACCAAAAAAATAAGGTAAACATCATCTTTTCTGCTCTAGTATTTATTGTGCGTCCTTACCATTCAGCTTAATTTTTGAACTACATTTTTTTGAACTACATTTTAAAAATAAATGTATATTACTGTTGAATTCATGTTTATTAAGATGCTAAGAGTCAAAACTAATGTGGTAGGCCTTGCTAGCTGCCAATTAGCTAAAATATTAGCAAAAATGTCATTTCCGCAACATGTCTTTACCGCAGCAAATTTAGGTGTTGCGGTAAAGACCTTGTGTTGCGGTAGAGACAAATTTAAGGTTTACTGTATATTAAATTACTAATATTCAGTATATTATTAGTACTGAAGCATATATTAGTATATATATTAGTATATATATAAACATGAATCATCAACTTTAGGAGACAATATTTTTGAAGCAGTTAAAAGAGTAAGAGTTAATTAAAATAGTTATTTACTGCAAAACTGCTACTATCTTTTACACATGCAATACCTTTAGTTCTCTTACGAGAGGTTCTCTCGTATTGCGTAAGTTTAGCTTACGCTACGGGAAAGATTCATCTTCTCGAGATATTGAAGCCAAAAAATTATCCTTAATTTTGTATTCATTGTCAACGCAGTGCAGCAGCTAGCAGACCTAGAGCAGGCAGTCTTGCGTGCTCATTGGCTGCCCTGCGGGCATCTGCTTCAGCCTACCAGTGAGCCCCGCGTGACGTCACGCCCAATGAAGGGCGCTCGCGCCTTCATAGCGTCACAGCCTGCCAGAATGGGCGTGGCTTAGCGTATAAAAGAAGGGGCTGTAGGCTGACTTCCCTGATTTTTCGACTCTTCAGCGAGCTCTCCGCATCGCTGGATCAGAGAGAAGCCACCGCCGCCGTCGAACAGCGAACAGCCAGCTTAGGACAGCGCTGAGGAAGCCGGCCGTCTTCGCCACCTTCAGCCATCCGTGCGAGCTACGCTATCCGGCGACGTATCCTTTTTACTCTGTTGTATTCTCTTCTAGCTTACTCCTAAAAGAGCGCGAGTGTCTTTTTAAAGATGCCTCGCATTTCCTGCGGCTCGTGTAGGCCCCTGGAGACAGCCGGAACCTGTGGCCACAGCGACGCGCTCGCCGGAAAGCCTCCCTCGAGCCTCGCTTTTCACCTTCCCCGCCTCCCTTCACCGACGCGCAGCTGCCGCTCACGAGCCTCACTGCCGTCGCGTCTGAGGATGAGGTCGAGGGACACGCTATGGACTGCTGTTCTAACCGCGGCTAGCTTCCTTTACGTTACAAGGAAGCTGCCGCGCGCGCTCTTATCTGCTCGCGCTACTTAAGCTTTCGTAGTTTCCCCCATGGCTCAGTGGCTAAACTCAAAGCTTTCGCGCCAGAGACCCGTGTTCGATCCCGGCTCTCGCAGCAAAAAAAAAACAAAAAAAAAAAACAATTATGCAGCTACGTACAGAGAGCGAGCGCGCGCCCCCGAGCGCATGCGTCACCGGCGAAAGAAGGAGAGAGTGTGGTTTTTTGTCCCGCCGAGGCCTGACAAACCCCCTCTTTTTTCTCAAACATTTTCCAGCTCCTCCTAGTTCGAGCGGCTGGTAATGTCTATACTGCAGTAGAGAGCCTGTTATAACACGCACGCCTGCAGACAATGCCGACACGCACACGAAAACTGTGATGACGCTCTCTCTTTTATCTGATCGCGCCAACTAAAGCTTATGTTGTTTCCCCTGTGGCTCAGGGGCTAAACCTTAAGCTTTTGC